CTGAAAAACATGTCCGTAACAATGAGGGCTATTATGATGATTGTTGCTCGTTGGCATCTCCTCGTACATATTCTTCGGCTTCGGCTAGTCGGTCAGATCCCCATAGACGAGAGGAGCTTCCGTAATCTTTTTTTTTTCTTTATTTTTTTCGCTTCTCATTCACCTGGTCAGTGTGGAGAGAGAGAGAAGAACCGAAAGTGGAGTCCCTGACCCTCGTCATGTCACCCACTCGGGCGTCTCAATACACTCGACGAGAGGGATGAGTCTCTCTTCTCTCCTCAAACAATTTCACCGGCAAAATGGGATACGCAGACACGTTACTCACAGGTATATAAAGAAGTGGATTTTTTTTTCGGGGAGTTTCTTTCTGAGACTCCCTATTTTTCCGTGTACTACTTGTCACTGGGAACTGTTTATCCTGCATCTGGCCAATCTCATAAATTATCCCTCTTATTTTCGGGACACATAACCGTGTCTCGTGACTCTCGATATGTTTTTATGTGCTTGTTCTTTGTGACAAATCTGTTTAATGGGATAGGGACGCGATCATTTTTCAGAGACGCGGGTGATTGAATTGGCGTGTTCACTTTTGTTGAGTATTTAAATGCACTTAGATAAATTTGAAAATGTTTAAAAATTTAACAAATTTTTAATTTTCAAATTTTTTATTTTGTTAAATTTGGCATCAAATTAACAAACAAATGCCAATACTTTTTTAACAAATTTTTAATTTTGTTAAATTTTTAAACATGATTTGAAATAATTTGAAACATGAATTTGAAGCATGAATGAATTTTTAAACATGATTTGATGATTTGAAATGTTTTCAATGAAAATGAAAAAAAAAATTTGAAATTTTTGGAATATTTTTGGAACATTTGTTGAAACTTTTTGTCAAATGACAGTTTCACTGAAATCCCTCGCAATTTTAAAACTGAAAATTCACAACTTGATCAAAAAATCAATAGAACCGTAAATTTTAGCTCAATTATTCCATCAAAATTGATAAAAAATTCAGTTGATATACTCTTTAATTTTCAATTAATTTAAAATTCAACATAATTTCAGGAGCGAAGCGGTAAACCGGGTTAAGTCGATTTTAACTGTTGGCCAGTTTTTGACGAATATCTCGGAATCTAAAAGAGATACAAAAATTGTTGTCATAACCTTTTTTGTAGAGGCAATTGAGGGTTACAAAAAAGGTCATGATCAAAATTTTGCTATCTCTCTTAGATTCCGAGATATTCATCAAAAAATGGCCAAAAGGAAAAATCGCCTTAACCCGGTTTACCGCTTCGCTACTGATTTGACACTTTAATATTTTAATTGCCACTGAAACTTCATGATTTTTTCACTCCTAAATCCAATCCAATTCAATTAAAATTTTTTCTAACATTGTAATTGGGATTTTTCCATGCACAAATGAACAAACAGAACGTCTGAAATAAAAAATTCCAATTGACCTTGAGACCATTCCCCTTTCCTCTCTGAAAATATGAGTCCATTACAGGTCGAGGCACTCAAGTGGGCATTTAAAGAGAGTGAGATCCCTTGGATGTTCAGAATCTTCGAGCATTCTCACAGAAGTTGTACTGAACCAATGGCCTCAAGCGCGCCAAGGGGTCTCTCATTCATTTCACCGGAAGCACTTCTGAAGGGATGATTGAGACGCCAACTTGCCCCCCCTCCTTCCACCTTTACACAGTGGTTTAACCCACGCTGGTGTCGTTCCACAAAAATCCCCTGGACTCTCGAGTAAACCACAAAAGACGAACACTCCTAAATTCTATAAAAATTTTATCTCCGCGAAAAATTAAATCAGGACTTTTTTTCCTCCTCGGGAGTCTCAGTTGGCGTGTCGCAATCGATTATCACGCTCGATGAAGAGGCGGGACCACCGTGTGCCAAAGGGGTCGAGGGGGAGGTTGGAGGGGGGGGGGGGAAGAAAAGGAAGAAGAATGAAGAGGGAAAAAAGTTGAGAAGAAGTAAAGGGAAAAAGGGGAATGATGAATTTGCCGTCTGAGTCGAGCCGTCGGCGAGGCTCTGTCGCTCGTTTGTAAACCCGCGCCTCCACTCCACCCCCTCATTTTTTGTTCTCATTCTCACCCCACAACAGCGAGAAAAAACAACAACTAGTGACAAACAAAAGCAAAGAGGAGAAGAAAAAACTAACGCATCGATCGGGTTATCGAAGGTTATTTATACTTAATGATATTTTATCGGATGGAATCGATGAGGTTTAATCAACCTGCACCCGACAATGGTTACATCTTGCTTTACCCGTTTAGCCGTGACTATCGCTGCAGCGATGCCATGTACTTGATGAAAAAGAGGGGGGGGGGGGTAGCGCTAGGTCAATATTGGTTCAACTTCGGATAGGGGATCTTCGCGGTAAATATAATTGTCCCCGAAATTCCATTTTTTTTAACACACTGTTAAAAAAATTTCACTGAATTCTCCAGAAAATGGCACTGAATTCAATTTAACGGAAGAAAATCTATGAAACTTCAAGTTCTCTTGAAAATTCAAGGAAATTCCTGATTTTTCAGTGGAAGAACCATGAAAATTACGAAATTTCCATGAATTTTCAATGTAAACATGATAATCCAATACGAAATTGCTCTGAAATGTGAAAAAATTGAAAATTCAAGGACATTTTTGCTTGAATTATCCTCATTTCCATTAATTTTCACGGAATAATTCAACTGAAATTTAAAATTTCCATGAATTTTCCACGAAAACCACGAATTTTCAATGGTAAAATTCCCTGAAATTTCAATGAAACCGTCACTTGTATCATATTTCAAGACTAAAGCCTGCGCGGAGAGAAATTTTCTAGAAAAATTCTAGTACGAGTACTGGAAAGAATCACAATCCACTGGCTGTGAAAAATTCTAGTGCTGTTAAGGTAAAATTTCTTGGTATTTCTGGTAAAAGTCCTGGGGATTTCTGTGAAATTTTTACAGGCATATGGGGAAAAATTCCCGTTTTCTCCAATAAAATTTCTAGTGCCGGCACTGGAATTCTTTCCTGGCCGTCACGTTGCGCCTCTTTTCCCGTGCTAACACTAGAATTTTTCTAAAAAATTTCCGTGTGGAAACTTCAGTGAAAATTTGTTAACAGTGGAGTGTACGCCCGTTAACCAACCGCTCCTCGTAATAATTTTATCTCATTGCGAACGCACACCCGAAAACCCGATAACAAGCCCCCGAAAATTGAGCAAATTCCATCACCTGCATTAACATTACCTCACATCACACACCAGATATGCTCATAAAAATTACGCAATCGAAACCAAAACAGAGATCGCAAAAATAAGAGTTAAATAACACCTAAAAACCTGAATAAATTGATAACACGAGAGCACGAAAAAGGTCAAGTGGATTAATGCATTCACTCGAAATACCCGGGACTGAAAGCGGGGCGTCTAATGAAGTCTTAATACAATGTAAACGAGTCAGGTTTATTTTCTCCGACTGATATTAAATACATAAACGTTACAATATGAAAACACGCGAACAGCACGAGGGATATGCCGGTGGAGAATGGCCACTCGAGCGCACCCCTCTGGTTAGCAACGAGAGAGAGAGAGAGAGAACTCTGAATATCGTATATCCCTCGCCATACACACACACATCACACACCTCAGACGTATTTATGGTGAGCACAATGGACGACATTATAAGTATTATCCCCCAAGCAGTGTTATATATTTGCACGAATCGTTATTAGTCGTTAACACGTACCCATTCAAGAATAATTTGCCACGATTTCTTTTCAACTCGCTACACAGTCGTCGTGTTTGCTCTTTTTGCGCGTTATGTACATTTCTGTTTCATTTTTTTTTTTTCGACGTCTTTTGTTGGCTGAGGAGAAGAGAGAGGGACAGATTTACAGCGGGAAAATCAATGATATTTCTCCTCAAATTTATCGCCTGCTCTTCACGCGCGATTGAACGCTTCTGAAAGTGAAGAAAAAAATGATGAAGGTGAATAGAAGCGGGGAAGGGAGTGCGGAACGTTACTAATAGGCTGGCATACGGGATGTTACGTGGTGACAATGCCACACTGAAAGTGTGCCACAAGAGTGTCCCTCATAAATTTTCCTCCATTCCCCCCAATTCCCGATCTCGTCGCACATCGATGCAACCGATAGGTCGAGGACTTTTTGATTTCTGCCCTCTGCATTCTCCTCACTTCGGGGAAATGAAAAAATAAGGATGGTGAAGGACCCTACGCTCGTTTAGTTAAGGTGAACGGCAAAAAACGTCTGAATATTTAAAAGTGTCTGAAAATCTAACTGATGCTTGAAAATTTCAAACACCGCTTGTGTCTGAAACTGATGTCTGTACATTAATTTCAGACATCTTGGTGTCAGACACATCTTAATGTCTCAAAAGTGTCTACAAAATCGTCCCAAGAGTGTTTGAAAAGTGTCTACAAAAGTGTCTGAAATTCAGACATTAGTTTTCGCAGTCATTTTTCGCAATTTTCAACTAGCGATTTTGTCAACCCAAACACGACTTGTTTGACGTGTTTGTTTTTCTCTCAGTGTAGGTACATTTACCTTAAACAGAAAAATAGTTTTCACGAGAAGAGATGAGATTTTGCCAAGTGTCCGAGTGTGTGGGCGTGTCTGGAGGAATAAAGCCACCCGCTGTGGAATGAAGAGCGTCAAAAGATGTGGGGAGAAGTGCGAGGGAGGCGATGGGTTATGAAAAAGAAGTGGCAAGGTCGAAGGTGGGGCATCGCGTCCGGGTTGTCATCGGCACAATGAGTCGAAGGTTATCTACGACGGAAGGAGAATAAAAAAAGACGAATGAAAGAAGTGGGAAAAAAAAATTCCGTATGGAAAAGTCGAGCGGCTGTATATAGACTCGGTTTGACGATGAAAAATCGCCGTTTTTTTTTCGTTCAATAGATCCTTAAAAAATTGGGTATGAATTTGGATGGGGTGTGTGAGTTGTTTAACGGTATGATTTATATGTCGATGATTTTCAGGTCACAGTGGTGTGAATCAGCTGGGCGGTGTCTTCGTCGGTGGTCGGCCGCTCCCGGACTCAACGCGACAGAAAATCGTCGAGTTGGCGCATTCTGGCGCGCGTCCTTGTGACATCTCGAGGATACTTCAAGTCAGCAATGGTTGTGTCTCGAAGATACTTGGAAGGTTGGTTTGAAGTACTGCACACTTTTCTATCGCATACTCGCGGTATTCCAGGCTTTTCCCTTTCATTTCCATGAGAATCTTCTTTCCCTTATAGAATATCAAATATCAAAACCTCAATATGTTAATTGCATTTTTCGATGGCCTGAAGTGGAATGAATAGGAGTACTCGTATTTAGTACTTCAAGAGCTTCAAAATTATCAGGTATTTTCCGATGGGACCGTTTGCATGGAGGAAACTTTGGGGAAAATACGTGATTAATATTCGGAAGAGAATTTCTCCATCCTAATTTCGGCCAAGAGAATTGCACTGTGAGACAAAATCCATGTTGAAGTTGTACTAGAGTGAATTCTGCCCGTAATCAACTGTTCCTGTGATGAAGCGTGCCGTAATCAAATGGTATAATGAATACTGAGAGAAAAATCTGAAGTTCGATTTACAATAAGAAAATAGTTGAGGCATTTTGGTGAACGATACGATTTTTTTTTGTATGTGGCACATAACATTGTAGTAACTTCACAAACGTAATTTTTGGAAATCAAAATGCAGTTAAACTAACCAAAGTTTAAAAGTAACCACGACAAATCTATCGTGAGGAGAACTATAAAATAGTTGCAATGACTACATTCCATTGTAGTAATTACTTCTCCGGCCATAGTTACCGTAACCCATGAAAAATTGTTGAGAACTTTTTGACTATAATTCGATGGTGATGGAATATGGTCAGAAGAATTATATTTTTCTCTCAGTGAATTGTGCTGTAATTGTTAGAGGTGCATTTGGTGTAGTACATCCTTAACGAGTCTGAACTCTTCACCACTGAGGATACGTCATACATCAATTTGAAAATCTCAGTGAGATCAAGTCATGAAAAATAATGTGTTGTACCGTATATTCACATTTTTAGTAATAAAGTACACGTGATAGTAACGTTGTGTATGAGGTTTGAGACAAATACCGCAGGAATGCCAGCCATGCGTGAGCATGAGGCTCACCTTGGTGCAGAATCTCAGTGTCCTTCTCCACACCCTTCCATCGTCATGCTCAACAACATTCCTGGGGAATATCTTGCGTAATTTTGTCACTGGGCATTAACTCAAATGTCTTCTTGATTTATATTCACTTAATTGTATATTCTCGCGCAGAAATTTGTGGTACCCATGTGAGAACTTTCATCGCGTGACAATTTCACCGGAATTTCAAGGAATTTCTGCATTCAAAATTTATAATAATGAAGAAACCAATGGAAACTGTCAATTTTAGGGAGATGTTTTCTTCGATTTGGTCATAAATATTCATATTTCAGTAGAATTGGAATTTCATTGTTATAAACTCGATGAGATTTAATATTTACATTTAATAACTATCGACATAATATCACAAAACTAATTTCTTGCGCAAATATTTCATCTCTTAAGGGATAACAGAAGGCCATCGTTTTCTAGAAATTTTTAGACCAATTTCCTGCTCAAAATTAATTCTATTTTTAGGTACTTGATTTTCGATTATTCAAATCATCGTCAATCTTCGTACCTAAATTATCAATTAATACGTTATTTCAAAATTTGAATGTGGAAATTGATGGTTAATTTAATATTTAAAATTTTCAGGATTTATGTTAAAAATTGAGATCTTTACGGTTTAACGATAATTACGATTGATGGATACGCCTATCCCTGATGACAAGCTTTCCTGAAATTTCAGTGGAAATTGAACATGATAAAAATTTTCGGTACATGACCCGGGAAATTCAAAAGAAAATGTTCAACAGTGCACGGAGAGAAATTTTTTAGAAAAATTCTAGTGCTAGCACGGGAAAAGAGGCGCAAAGTGACGGCCAGGAAAAAATTCCAGGGCCGGCACTAGAAATTTTATTGGAGAAAACGTGAATTTTTCCCCATATGCCTGTGAAAATTTCACAGAAATTCCCAGGACTTTTACCAGAAATACCACGAAATTTTACCTTAACAGCACTAGAATTTTTCACAACCGATGGATTGTGATTTTTTCCAGTGCTCGTACTAGAATTTTTCTACAAAATTTCCCTCCGTGTGTAACTCGCAATTTTTACTGTGTTCACAATTTCATATTTTAAATTCATCTTTTAAATTGTAATTTCATATTTTTCCGTACAATAACACCTTTCATCACATTATATCGATGTGTCTCTCACTGCATCGTACTTTACCTCACGAAATAAACCAAAGCCGATAAACGCAAAATGAAAGCATTTCATTCCGGAATGAATGTACTCGAGATAAATAAAAATCAGTAGCACACATACGCCGATTTGAACCGCAAGATATATTACTGTTCCAGGTATTACGAGACGGGCTCGATACGACCGAGGGCAATAGGCGGTAGTAAACCCCGAGTGGCAACCGCCGAGGTAGTAGGTAAAATTTCCATGTACAAGAGTGAGTGTCCATCGATATTCGCATGGGAGATACGTGACCGACTGCTCCAAGAAGGCGTCTGCACCAATGACAACATACCAAGTGTAAGTGCCCCCCACCCCCTGCCACAGGGGATACTTTTGTTTATTGTTTCAGTCTTTCTTTCCCAGTCTTTTGTGTTAAATCCGGTTGCCATGGTTATTTGCATGCGTCCAATAAACGGTCTGAAGGGGCTGTGCACAGACGCTTCGCTTAACGCGAAGAGGGTCGCTGAATATTTCCCTCCGTATCTGTCCCCCCTTCACCCCCCCCCCCCCCCCCCCCNCCCAATGCCCCAGGGATATATCCCTCTGTCTTACTCACACTTTCTTGGGGATGATGTTCACGACGGGCTAACCCATCCCCCCGGTCTATCCGTAATGGCTCTGAAGTAAACGCGCGTCACCCCCTTACTACTACTCTACAGGGAAGCTCTTGAAATCAGAAGGGGGTGGATTCCATAAGACGCTGCAACCCTAAAATCGCCATCTTGTGTTTGAGCGAGAAAAAATTAGAATAGAGAGGAAGAGATGAGGAGGGAAAAATGGAGTTGGAAATTGGGGGAAGAAAATGTTTTCGTTTTAGGGGTGTGGAGGATTTTTTAATTTTATGAGTGAGGGGTAAAAGCAAGTGATTTTGGCGATTTCAGGGATTGAAGTCCGAATGTGCAAGATCGTTGTGCACTGTTGGGAAAAAGTGCAATTTCTGGAAGAGTTGACTACTGGTTTTCAGGACAGTGATACTGAAAGCGGTTTAGCGGGAAAAATCATGAAATTTCAGGCTTCAGTAAATTCAGGAATGAAAATTCAGTAAAATTGCAGAATTAGAAATTTTACTGAAGAAAAAAACCATTTTTTTGTGGTTTAGGGGGGGAAATTATGAAGTTCCAGGTTTCACTGGATAAATAATTTTACTGAAAAAAAAACAAATTGTTTTTTGCGATTTCTGGTTTCACTGAAAATTCTGTAAAATTGCAGAATTAGCAATTTTGCGGGAAAAAATTTTTTTTTGCGGTTTAGGAGAAAAAATTATGAAATTTCAGGTTTCAATGAAAATTCTGTAAAATTGCAGAGCTACAATAAATGTAATTCCGAAAATTTCACTATCTATCTATCCCTTAGATTCGGAAATATTCCTCAAAAACTCAACTGGGAGATAAGTCGACTTGAACCGTTTTACCACTTCACTTCTGAATTGCATGATTTTTTCCCCACTAAATCGAATTTACTCTCACTCTCCTTAAAATTAGAGATAGATTTCTAAAAATTACCGATATATCCCTAAAACCAAAACCTTTTTTTCATTGCGCTCATCGAAAAAAAATGAAGAAATATTCAAGCACGAAATTGTTTATTTTCTTGAGCCCCTTGAGTGTTAATAAATTCCGTTTACCGTGCGTATAATGGAATATTACACGGGCCATTAAAGAATCGTTAATCTTGGACCACAACAAGTTATCGGTGAGTTCCGGAAAAGCCTCACGGCGATGCTCCCTTGGAACTTTCAGGCGGATTAAGGCGCCCAACGCTCCTTTGATCCTTTCCTATCCGAGAGTTTAACCCCCACCTCCTTTTTCACTTGGCCTCCCTTCCTCGTACTTTCTGTTATAATCGCATAATTTGGAAGAAGTGGGAAGAAGTGACTTTCATCAACGTTGAAGGACGCAATATCGCGATCTTTTTCTCGTGCAGAATAATATTTTATTTGTTTTTGTGAGAACATTCTCTTTATTATGGTGAATACAGTTATATTTCTTCTTTTTGTTTTTATTGCGTACAGTTATACTTCTTCTATTTTTCAATTTTCTCGGTTGGTATTCACATCAGGCGAGAGGAACGGGAGATGAAGGGAAGAAAATTCTTTCATTGCGTTGCGAACAATTAGAAAATAAATTCATTACGATGCGAAAATTACGAATTTAATGAAAATTGACGGTCAGTTTATCATTTCGTTTGGACACCCATCCATTTATTAGCCCACTCAACGCTATTTAGCTTTTCAAAGCCACTTCTCAATCATGTAATCAACACACTACTTCACCAAATCAATTCTGACCACTCAAAGAACACTCAAAACCTACAAAAAACCCTTAAAAAAATTACGCGAATGAATTACGTCACACTGATAGAATGATTTATTTATTCATTTATTATTTATTTATTTATTCATTTTATTATCATTTATTTATTATTATTTATTATTTATTTATTCAGTTATTTATTTATTTATTATTATTATTTATTTATTTAGTCATTTATTCCAAACGAGCTTCGTTAACTATTAACGAATGAACATTTGGTGAGACCGAATAGACCCTAACCTCCAACCAAAATCCATTCGTTAACAATAACCGTTCGTTAACAATCCGTTCTATCAGTGCATAAACAGCAAGATCACTCCTGCAACAACATCATACGTTCATCCACACCCCTCCCCTTTTCCATTTTCTAGTATTTCCCACTATTTACAGACGAGAAAAATGCGAAATGACGACGGAAAAATCATTCTATTGGTTACCGACAATACCGGAAATTATGATGGCAAAAAGTTCGGTAGAGTAGGAAAAATCGAAATGAGAAAAGATTGGAAATATTAAACAGCTGCAGGAGAACAAGGGGATGGGGAATGTGGAGGTCCCTGAGAAGTCCCTGAGAAAAGCAGAGACTGAACATATTCGAAGCGAGTCGTGGTGATTGGGGGAAATTTCATTATTCTCAGACATTACCCCCGTTATTGTAATGCCATCAAATTGGATACGCTCGGTACACTGCCCTCCCCCTGGACCCCCTCCCCCTCTCCCACAATTCAGTACCGCCACTGCTTCGGAGAATATTCGCCTCCTTCGATTTCTCTCAGCCATATTCTTCCCGACGACTTCACTCGTCGGTTTTCCTCCATTTTCTTCCTATCAATTTAAATTAGATTTTTCCATCTCATTTTTTGTTTCCTGAATTTTATTCGCGTTTTTTTATTTATTTATGAGCTTCATCTTTTGGCAGATGTGGATGGAAATGCCGGGGGGAGGGAGGAGGGGCGAAGCCGCGAGATTTCACCCAAAACACGGCTATATAGCATTGTTCTCTCTTCACTTCTCGTAGGGATTTAAATCTGGCAGCCGGTGGTGGCGTTATTGGTTTATTCGCACCACTGACTTTCCTACCCATGGCTTTTCCCCACATTTCATTCCACTGTCCCTTATACTTTCCTACCCATTTACATCCGTTTCGTCATTCAAAATGGGAAAATGAAAAAAAAATAGATGAATTATTCGATGAGAGGTGGTTTAACCTCTCAGAAATTTGCCCGCCAATTTGAAGATTTAAGTAGTCGATATGTGAGAGTTGATTGTTTTTTTTCTTCATACAGAACGTAATAGTTATTTATGCCACTCATGCCTGAAACCGGCTGGATTACACACTCGACGCTTCACGTCTCGTGTCTAATTCAGCCGGTTTCAGGCTTCGTGACATAAAATTTTGTTCAGTACTTGTTGGGAAATCTCGTCCTTAACCCCACACACGTTAAAGACGAAATTGCCCCACACGTGCTGAAATATACTATTTCATCACAAGGTCCACAAAGTATTTTCTGACGAATGTGGCTTTGTATAATCACATTCGTCAGAAAATACTTTTGGACCGTGTGATGAATGCAATTTTTCGTTAGAAGGCCCGTAAATCGCGCTTTACCCGCCCTTCTCACGAAAACATTTTTTTGGCTTTGGCGCACTGACAATAGAATGGAAAATAATTATTACGTTTATAATGTGGACGTAAATTCATCCTATTTTACTTTTGAGAATTAAATTGGAGTGAGTAATTGAATAATTCAATAATTAACGTCATTGGTGAGTTAGTGATGATTTTCTCCCATCAGAAAAAATCCGTGCAAGATTTCCATTGAAAAAAACACTCGTTTTCTCAGTGTAGGTTGCGCATGGTTTAGCGGGGATTCCCTCACGACGCGACCACTTAAAGCTTAAATAAAATATCTGTTACATCCCTTTACATTACTTCCGTTTCTCCATTCGCATTGAAAAAACTCGCCCCCAAAGCCTCAAATCGAGAGCACATTAAACCCCCTCTCAGTCCCTCGCGCCTCTACAAAAAAAATCCAAAACACTAATAAAGAAAAATAAGATACGTGTGAAATCGCCATTGAAATTCCCCACCGTAAACTCACTCAGCTCGTTTTTAAAACAATTGTTTTCCCGTCCCTGGAAAACGCCGAGAATTCGATAGAGCCTCGGTAAAGTAACCGCAACAATGCCTGGGTGGGTAATGGATGGGCTTGGAGAGCCAAGGCGAGTGAATTGTTGGCCCATGGGTCTCCGAGAAGCCAGTGGCAGTATAGATAGTGGCTAAGGGACGGGAGTAAAGTGGGGTGAGAGGTGGAATCGCGCGAAGAGACACCCTTTGCCTCGTCGTTCTCGCGTAAATCAATGCGCCCCCCGGTCGGGTCCTCGTCGACTTCTGCCGCGTCGCGAGAGGCACCCCTTCTTTTCCCTCTCGCTCCTCCACCCCCCCCCCCCCCCCCCCCCCCCCCCCCCCCCCCCCCCCCCCCCCCCCCCCCCCCCCCCCCCCCCCCCCCCCCCCCCCCCCCCCCCCCCCCCCCCCCCCCCCCCCCCCCCCCCCCCCNGGCTACTGCATTATGTATTTCTCACCAAACCAACCACGACTTTCATCCTACAGTATCCCTCCTTTCTTTTCTCTCGCCACTTTTTTCTGCTCTCTGTCCCCTTTTCCCGACTTATATAAACCCACCCCTGCTGCTTTAATCAGCGATCATGCCAGTACTCCGTAAAAGGAACTGGAATAAATCAATTCCTTCCACTAAAAGACCGGGGTTTTTTTTCCCGCTATTTCGTGTGTCATATCGTTGAATGCTGTTGCCGTTTTCACGTGGAACGGACGATCATGTGTCGGCGCGGATAACCGCAGTGATGTGTCGGGTGATGGCGGGCGGCGGATCACCTGACGCTGGTGGTCATCTGTTGATCGAGCGAATTTACGCGCGGGCATCCTTCGTCCACGGAGGGAAATTTTTGATAAAAATTATCCTACCG